TTATATGCCGATGATACCACCATACTTTCGGAGGTTGCTACGAACTTAAACTTGAAGAATAATGCAGATGAATCAATATGTAAGGTGAAACAATGGTTTCACCACAATGGATTATTACTAAACGAGGAGAAGACTCAATGTATTACTTTTCACAAAGAATTGACGAAGAAATACAGTGGTAAATACATATTGAACATCTGTTAATGGCGCGATCTTCTGCATTCGTAGAATTCGTAGTATTAGTACTGTAGAAGCTGCAAAACTCATCTATTATGCCAACTTCCATAGCTTGATCTCCTACGGTATCCTCTTCTGGGGAGCTTCTTCGGCAGCCGAAAGAACATTTACACTTCAGAAACGAGCGATAAGGGCATTGTTCAACCTGGGAAGCAGAGAAAGTTGTAGAAGTTATTTTGCTCGGTATGTACAGTAAATGGTACAACCTCCAACGTATTCTACCCAAAACAGGGGGTTCCGCAAGGCTCTCCTATTTCACCTACGCTATTCAATGTTTTTGTGTATGATATGATGTTACATCCACCAATTCAGCTTATATACTACAATATGCGGACGATACAGCTCTAGTGAGGCACGATACAACCTTAAAAAGAGCAGTGGATGGCCTTCAAATATTGACGGAGAAAGTCGAAAGCTGGTTCAAAATCTGGAGAATTCATATAAACCCTCGAAAATCGCAATTACTTCTACCATTCCATAGATTATCTGAAAATTCTCCGAATATCAGGATAGAATTCTTGTAAATATCTTGGAATAAACTTTGATAGCAAATTAAAATTTGACATCCACACGAAAAATGTTAAAATGAAAGTCAAAGCACGTGCAAAGCAATTTAGATGTTTCACCTACAACAACAATGGGATAAATTTTAAATGTGCGTTTCATATTTATAAAACAATTTGCAGACGCATTCTCGATTACAGAGCTCCCATCTTCCTTAATATCAGCAAAAAGGCGACATCACATCTAGAAGTAGCAGAAAGTTCAGCAATTAGAATAATATCGAAACTTCGAAACCCCAGAAATCCCCTATTCAACCCCTCTAATAATCTCCTTTATGAAAAATTCCAAATTATTCCCATTACTCAACGAATATCTCTCCTCGTACAAAAAGCTTACAAAAGTATTTCTTCAAACCAATCTCCTCTTTTCCAATCTTCAAATTTTGACACTACAAGAAAATCGTGGATTACTAAAGATGACTAATCAGTATAACATGAGCAGAAGGACCACAGGAATCAAAATCGCCAGGAATCAAAATCGGATATATTCTAAACTCCGAAAATATTGTAGGCCCACTTTTACAATCTTCTTGACAAGTTATCCACTGGATAACACCTGGATTTATCTATCAGATAAATTTATGAATAGATGGTAAATGTGGCTTTTTAACAACTAAAAGCTGACACTACAAGTGAAGAGGTAATAAACGTTAGTTAACTTGTATGCATAAGAACTATTATACAGATAAAACAGTAGTCCTCAAACTTTTTTCTTTAGTAGACCACTTCCCATGTTTTCGGTTTGGTTAGACCCCCTGCTAATCTTGCATTTTTGCTGATCTATTGCAACTTACACCCTCTAAAGGACCTAGTTCCTTGATGAACCTTAGTATTACTCCAAGGTCTTGTACTTTTATGTGAGTAGGTATCAGGCAAACCTTTCCAAAAATATTGTGACCTCTGGCGACGTAAAATATGTTCAGCAGTCTCTGACTTGTCGTTGCAAAGTCGACAATTTTGATCCTCAGCTTGTCCAATGTTGAAGAGATGGTAATTTAGGAATGTGTGGCCGACCTGAGAACTTCTTTGGTTTTCTTTTACGACGGAGTCATCATACTCTTCGCCTGTCTGTTAAAACTGGTGTTTTAACCACCTGTTTTAAGAGGCTTATTCGTAGTCCACAGCCGGGTTGGGTCCAATAAAGGGCGTCCTCGCTGCCTCTTTGGCTAGCTTGTCCGCCTTTTCATTACCCACAATCTCTTCGTGGCCTGGAACCCACCGTAGTGTATCTTCATTACCCCTGAGTTATTTGAGTTTTCTCAGGTTATCGGTACATTCTTGGACCAGTGCGGATTTACACGTCTAGGCCTGAATTAGCTTTAGGGCGGCCCAACTATCCGAAAAGTTATCTATCGATGCTCCTTTCTATCCCTTCTCAAGGTTCAAAACGGTGCAGAAGTGTATGGTAAGAACTTCAGCCTAAAAAGGGTTTTATCTGTGTTTAAGTGCATCTTAATGTGGCTTTTTGGTCCGCTGGTGCCTATACCTACTCTGGATCTACCTGTCTTTGAAGCATAGATGTACCAGGCCAGGGTTCCTTTTTTAAATTGAGGTTGATTCCTTCGTCCATTGATCCAATAATCCTATTGGTATAAGATCCATTTCAATTTTAAACAAGTGGTTTAGGCGAAATGTCCTCTGAGGTTATCCTGCATCAGCTTGAGTGAAGAGCATGTCTTCTGTGACAAGGCACTCATAGCTGCTTCTTTTTGTATGTACAAGTGAAGTGGTATGAGACCAAGTAAGGTTTCAAGAGCAGCCGTGGAACAAGATCTTATTACACCCATTATATTAAGACATGTAAGCCGCTGGATTTGTGCCAGCTGTTGTTTCGTTTTCTTGTGATTTGTAATAGCTCTCCCTTCACTAGCACCCTCAGTTGTAGGTTTCTTCTCCGAGCGAATGGGACTATTTCTACTTTGTTGGGGTTGATGCTGAGCCCATTATTCCTGCACCATGTGCAAGTACAGTGTGCACCATGCATTTGTGCAACATGTGTATGAAGTAAGCTTTTTAAATTAAGTCATTTGCATATCCCTGAATTGCAAATACATTCTCTGTTAGGATGTTCAACAGATCGCCAACTACTACTTAGGCACCGTAGGAGAGGTCAAAATTTCTAACTTGATTTTTTTTAAACTTTTCAAGGCGCCTTGAATTTCGAAAAACCTTGATTGAACAAATTATAAAAAAAGTTTACAACCAGGACCATCACTTACTGAAAAAACAGCTACTTCATGTAAATACTGCACTATTTGTCACAAATAGAATGAACTTGAAAAAAAGAACGGAAAAGTAACCGGATATTACTGCAAAGTATACAATGTTGGACTGGATATACATACTCAACAAAAATTTCATATTTATTTTATTTGTTATGTATTTATAAAATAATATTTATAGAAAAAATACTATTTACGATGGAAGCAAAGCATAGTCACGGTGATCCCCAAACCCGGTTTAGAACACTGCCAACCCAAGAACTATAGACCGATCAATCTACTACCAGTACTGGGTAAGATTTTAGAAGACATTGTTAAAGACCGACTTGATAAAGTAATAGGCAGTAATATTCCTCGATTTCAATTTGAGTTTAAATCTAAAAATTCTACTATACACCCTCTATCAATTTTCATAAACAATATACAAATATCACACTTAACAAAGAACAGATCTGCAGCACTGTTATTGGATATCAACAAAGCCTTTGATTCAGTATGGCATCAGGGATTAATCTATAAATTACATGAAATGCGTGCTCCCTTACATTTAATAAGAATAGTAGAAAACTTTTTGATTGACAGGCAAACAAGAGTTAGGATCAATGGTTCATTATCTAAATCGTTTACTCCATTACAAGGTGTTCCACAAGGTTCGCCAATCTCACCTTTCCTGTATAACATTTATTGTGTAGATATCCATGGTCCAGCCGATAGAGAAATAGTACTAGATCAATACATACTACAGTTTGCCGATGACACTGTCCTAGTATCACACGACAATAACCTAGAGAAAACGATCAACAAGTTCCAAAATATGTGTAATATTATGATTAAATGGTTTTATAAATGGAGACTTAATCCAAACCCAACTAAATTTCAATTATTTATTCCACATCACAGAATAGTGGAAACGTCTCCAATTATCAAAATGGATACGGTTAACATAAAACCATTACAGAACTTTAAGTACCTAGGAATGAACATCGACTCCAAATTAAACATGATTGCACACTACAGGAAGGTACAGGCGGAAATGTCTAAACGGGCGAAATATTTTAGATCTCTAAGTTATAAAGACAAAGGTATAAACACGAAGACAGCGATGCAAATATATAAGAGCATATGTAGACCATTGATTGACTATGGCAATATTGTATCAATGAATTCATCCAGAAAAACGGGAGACATAATTGACAAAGCGGAAAGAAAATGCTTGAGGATTATCTCTTAAATTAGACACCCAAATAACCCATTACACAACGTAAGAAACAAGACCTTATACGAAATGACGGGTATTGAACCTATAAGACTAAGACTAGACAGACTACGGAAGAAATTTTTAGACAACAGAAACAATTATGAAAAAATACATAAATTATGTTTAAAGAGACAAGCAGCACAGATGGAAGTTGATCAGAGGAAGACAATATCGGAACTTTTTCATAAATACTTAGCTGATAATGAAAATTTTTTGTTGTAATTATAGCCAGCGGAAAGACCATTAGGTCGATAGTTGAAATAAAGATTTATTTCTCTCTCTCTACTATTTACGTTAAGAATTTCTTTTAATTTAACTTTATGCACCTGAAGCGATTAAATAACTGTTAGGTTAAGCTGACGCAACGAGATAAAAATTCAATTACTTGAGAGGTACTTGAGATAATTTTCAATTTAATTTGATGTCATTATTTTAAAATTCCTTTTGGAAGAAAGTTTAACATTCTTTATAAAAATATTAATTAGTTTATTTATTAGTCACTTAATTTATTTTGATTTTTAGTTTCCTTGAAAAAAATCTAACTTAAATTTCTTTGTTTTAAAACTGAATCATTAAATGGGTACCTGACTTATTACAAAAGAGGGAAAATCCATCCAATTTTCTGGAGGTCGCAAGATATTGATCTCTCAACGCACACATCGAAAGAGAGACCGCAGGGTGCAGTGCGCTCAGCTGGTGTGCGCACAACAGCTGGTCGAGTTGCCATCATAACAAACACAAAGTGATACCGTTCTCTTTACAAAGAATCGTTCTATTTATCCTTTTTTTGCCATCGCGAATTGATTTAAGGCGACAATTGGATTTGTGTTAAGTCAATTATACGAGTTACAACGTCGAGGTGATTGCGGTCGATTTCTGTGGATATTTTCGTAACAATCAAAGTGCTATGCAAATATGTAAATAGGACAAGATAATCTAGGTGTTTTGTGCGTGTATATTTATAATAGAAGAGTGGGTTTCTTGGGTTTGAAGTGCGCCCCATTTTCGTGTATTCAGCTCGGACGGCACATGTTTTGCTGCTCCCGTTTGTGAGTACTAAGCTTACGCAGTCATTCTCTAGTGCACAATTCTATTGATAGACTTCGGTATTTACATATTCTATTTATAAAAGACGATTATATTTATTTCTGTATGATTAAACTCTATAATCTATTATGTACTTATTTTCTGCAAAACATTTTTTTAAAATTTTTGTTCTATTTATTCTTGAAGGTTAATTATAATTTATTTACACGAGTATTTATAAGAAATAATCTATGAAGAGTTTCTATGGTGGAACAACCTTCGATCAAAGAGTAAATATTTTCCTTTGGTACCCAATATAGCTTTTAAACGGGAAGGAATAAAAAAACGGCGAAAGAAAAACATACAGACACACGGGCGAAATAAATATTTGCACGTGCACTACAGACTTCTCCGAGAATGTTTAGATCAATAAGCGATAGATCGTTAAAATGTATGAAGTGAGAAAAAGATATACACGGAGTCGTCGATGACGGCTAATGAAGTAAATGGGGGCGCATTGTTTACATTCCCACATTTGCAATTCCACGTGATGCGTCTGCGAACGCGACCGCGTGTAACAATATAAAAGAAAAAACCCGATTTACTGTTAACTTTAACTGTAATTCAACTTCACTATACAAAAACTGGTCTAAAGGCTTAAAATCTCAACAAATTTTGGTTCATTAACAGGTCCTTAATCTTTTAAACTTAATCTTTTTTTTTTCATTTTCATTAAGCGACGTCGATTTCTTTGTTGAAAACGAAGGTGTCATTTCTCCTTCAGAAATGATTTACGATCACATTAATATTTAATTGTTTGAACAGCAAACGAACCTTGTAAACTGTAACTGATCGTATCGCATTACGAATACGTTTTGTAAAAGCGAAATATGAAAGCTTGTTTTTCGTTTTTCATTTCAAACCCACATGGAAATTGCATATTGCATTGCGGCATTTCATCGTTACAAGTTTATTTTTATATAAACAATTTTCAAAGGAAACCGTTTTAAGAACAATTCGTTTTAAACTTTGGCAGTTTTGTTATGTTCCGCTTTAATATTTAGAGCACGATCTTATAAAGCAATTTGGTACGGGTTGAGAATTTTAAAGAAACGTTTTTGTTTCCTCTGGGAACGTTCAAAAAGAATGGTTTTAATTTAACAATTTTTTTGTCGACGTATGAATGGAATATTAAAGTAATAACAACGTGTTGTAAACTAGACGTATGTCAAAAACGTATTTTTAGCACCCTGTATAAATTCACATAATTTAAAAAGACGTTGAACTGTTTATAAAATATACGAAATTAATACTAATCATCGCTCGAATTAATTTCAAATTTAATTTCTGTTCCGTTAAATGCTCCTTTACAAATCTAAACGACGATTCATCATTAATGTTAAATGACGGCTATCGGCCACCTGTAATATGCAAATTTGTCTACCGTAATTACGGCCTGTAAGAAACCACGTGGAGAAATTATAAGATTAATTGTAAGTAATTACGAGCCCCAGGCGTCACACAAACTGTCAGGATGCTTAATAAAAAGTATCTTGCCTACACCGTCTCGTAATCTGATATTGGATAAGAGATGCGCGAACTACTCTGTGGTATAAGAACACAAAGCGGTTCTTTTCTTCGTATTCTTCCGTTTTCAACGAACACAAAGGTAACGCGATACGTAGGGGGGACACTCTGCGGTAGGAAAGGCTGGTTTTGCGTGGAAACTGCAAAGAGATGACTCAGCCCGGACCTCCCAGAAGTGTAAAAGCTGACGAAATTGATTTTAAATTAATTAGGTTTTAAAAAATTTATAGATATAGAACTTAAATCTAACTAGTTTCGGCCCTTGGCCATCTTCAGACTCTCTACAAACAGATTAACATCTCTCATCTTATCCATTTTACAAACGACAGCGGTACTAACTTGCACTACCTACTACCTAGAACTAGGAATATTCTATGTGTTTCTAGTTCTCGGTCTAGTGTTAGTTCTAGTGGCAGTGGTAGGTAGCGCTAGTTAGCATAAGATATTACTATGTTGTGTATTTTTATTGAACTAAAACTAGAACGAGAACTAGAAACATTCGGGTTTAGTCGTGAAAAAACCTTTCAGTTGTCAATGTCAACTTTAATTTTATTATTATATTAGTAATCTTCATAAAATAACCTTTAAAGTGAATCCAAACATGACGCATTTCTCTCAAAAAACCAAAAAGTTGGAACTTTCAACTATTAATTTTTACATATTTGTCAACTTCATAAAAAATCATTTAAAATGAGTCCAAACTCGACATATTTACGACTTATTTTAGTATTTAGATACAATCACTTCTGGTTTGATACGTCAACATCAATTTTGACATATTTGTCATCTTCATCAAAAAACCTTTAAAATGAGTCCAAAGATGACGCACTTGTCTCAAAAAATAAAAAAGTTGGAATAAAAAACATTAAACCCGAAGTTAGCAATTTAATTTTTAAATATTAATACCAACCTTAACTTTTGATTTTTTTTTATTATATTTTTGTTTTTGTGACAAATAGGTATTAAGACATTTTACAAAAATTAAGAATATTGCAAAATGATATTGACATTTCAAATAAAATAAAAAGTAATATTGGAATTAAACGTATCATGTTTGGACTCATTTTAAAGGATTTTTCACGACGATTACAAGTATGAAAAAGTCATGTATGTGTTTATGCTTTTATTGATAAATAATTTAAAACTCTGCCTGACACGTTTCGGCGATCTACGCCATCTTCGGAGGCTTTCGTCCTTTTAGGTTATGTCAACATAAAATATAATTCACTCTTTCTATGTGCGGTACAATCAAGACCACTAACGAACACCAAGCACGCCTCTTCCCAAATTTGTTCGCTCTCGAGTAAGACTAAATAATTATTGATAAAGTTATTAATCCAAACCATCATTTGTTGATATTTAAAACGATTACTACAGGAAGCCTATTGATTGTACCGCATATAGAAAGAGTGACTTATATTTTATGTTGACATAACCTAAAAGGACGAAAGCCTCCGAAGATGGCGTAGATCGCCAAAACGCGTCAGGCAGAGTTTTAAATTATTTATCAATAAAAGCATAAACACATACATGACTTTTTCATATTTATATATATATTGATAACAAGGATCCACAAAATGGATTACAAATATGTCAAAATTGACGTTGACATTCTTAACCGGAAGTTGACCATAACTTCATTAATATTAAAGACAAATATGTCGTGTTTGTACTCATTTTAAAGGATTTTTAATGAAGATTACAAATATGTCAAAATTGAGGTTGACATTTTAAACCTGAAGTTAGTTATCATATAATAGAAGTTTTATAACTGAAGTTAATCTAGTGTTAGTCGCTTTTCACCTCTTTCTTTTCATTTTTAACGTGTTTTTTGGGTCATTACACGTTGATTAAAAAATAGTCGTAATTTTTAAGCTACATGATGATTCTTGAATTTTAACCTGTAAACTTGTAGCACTTCGTCCTTAGTTTCATTTTACAACTTTTTAAACTTTAATTTTGTAAATTAGTAACTAATAATCTGATTTCGACTTTGATATGTGGTCTTTTTTAACAAAAAAGAAATATTAAGAAACTTGTTTGTAAAATGGATAGGATGAGGGATATTAATCTATTTGTAAAGTCTCTGACGGTGGCCAATGGCCGAAACTAGTTAGACTTAAATTTTATATAAAATAAAAACCAGTTGAAAAGTAGAAAATCAAACTCTAGATAGTTTTCTTCAAAAATTTTTACAGGAAACATCATTTTGACTCTAGTATTTGTGCTTAAATTTATGCCACGACTTACAGAAATGCTCTGTATAATCGTAAAACGACTGACTAAGCGGATTCTGTGCTTGTGATGGCTGTCATCAGTGTTTTGTGATAAAAATTTTCAATAGTTTGAGCCTGTCTATTCTGAAAAGTCATAATTTTAGAAAGATGAAAACGAAAATCCCGTTTTTCTCAACATTGTTCATTTATCGCTTAGTCAAGTGATGCATAACGCGATCCAATTGTTGAGTAAGTTTTTTTAAATGGATATTACGTTGCATTAATTAAGCTTGAAAAGACATACGATTGCTGAAAAAATTGAAATAAGTTTCGTTGTTAGCATTGTTCTTATCCAGCTCGCAATGACCAATGGCACTCGTCGAGATTCCAGTGCATACTTCGAAAGGTGGTTTTGTCAAACGCTCCCTCTATGTCAAAGAAAGCTCCCAATATAGACTCCTTCGAATCGAGTGCTTGCTCAATGCGCCCCACCACAATGTGTATGTCCAGAGATATACCTTTGATGCAAGCATGCTGATACAAATGCAAAGGAAACGCTTTAAGTACATTTGCTTTAATGTGATGGTCACATAGTGTTTCAAGTGTCTTTAAAAGGAAAAATGGGTCGAAGGGCTTTAGGATCATTGGGGTCCTTTTTTGCATTCTTTGGTATAAAGGTTACTGTAACCTTCCTCCAGCTGATAGGGACATAGTTAAAAGCTAAAACAAGCTTTAAAAATCCTCATTAAGTGTATTTTCATATCTTCTAGGCTCAATTGAAGAAGAGCACGAAAGATATCATCGGGTCCCGGTGTTTTGAAGGGGTCAAAACTGTCAACAGCCAACTCTACCAAATCGCTCTGTACGACCTAGCTGGCTATCTGCTAGTCATGTCTGGTAGGAAAGTTGTTTAGTTCCACTTGATGTGGAAGTGTTGAAAAATCTTGCAAAGAACCTGGAAAATGAACATCCATTAGTAATTGCAATGATTCTTCTGGATTCTTGGCAAAACTGCCATCATTGGTGTTTAGAATGTCATAGCTTTGTTTTTGGCCGCAAGATAGCATTTTGTTAACGCGTAAGGCCTTAGCAGCACTCTCTACCTCCTCGCAAAAACCTCTCTGAAAAACTTGTCCTTTCTTCTGACTTACTAGATGTTTCAATTCTGACTGGTGTGTTTTAAACAGTCTACTGAGAATTCAGTCTAGTTTGTTTTGCTT